CAATGGGAAGCTGCCAATTCAGAAAAGATTGCTATGTGGGGAATGGCTAAAGGACAGTTAAACTGTGATTTGCTTATTTATCCAATACCTCTCATTAAAAAAAAAAAAAAAAAAAGTTAAAGGGTGTTTCATCTAGTTAGACTTTCCTGCAACAACAGTCCAAAAGCTAGGCATTGCACCAATCAGGATTCTCGGCAGCAAACAACAAACTCTGGCTAAGTAAGGCAGGAAATGAAGTTGAATAAAAAGGACAATGGAGAGTCCCTACACTCTTCAAAAGGGTAGGAATCAAATTTAGAGGACACATAGTCAAACTGTGCTGAAAATCATGCTGTGGAACCAGTTCTACAAGCACACACTGCCACCCCTGCTGGTTGGTGGACATTGCAGATGGCGTTCCTGGCATTGTCAGAAATGGATCATGATGTTGTTGCCCTTCCTGCTGACTCTGGGAATTGAATGTAGGTGCCATTCACTGCTGCCATCCATCAGCAGGAAGAAATAGGTTCAGTTCCCTCTTTGAATGTCTAGTTTCCAGTTTAAAGCCTGGGGCAAGGGCAGCTGATTGGCAGAACTCTAGATATAGCCAATGTTCTAGCAGCAAGAGAGGAGGGAAAAAGATGTGTCTGACACATTCAGATTATACAATGGGAGATTTAATACTTCCTCATAAGATGAGTGGTTCAGATACTGGGCAGTCAAAAAGGACAAATGTTGACTATAGTGACCCACAGTAGTTTCATTTTGTTATTTTTACTATAGTTTATTGTTTTGAGAAGGTAATATAATCAGAAGTTGAAAAATTAAAAAGAAAAGTAAAAAGCCAATCTTCCTCTTCCCTGTTTCCCAGTCATCCACTGGTAGATTGTTTACTGTTATCAATACTCACTTTCCCTCCCTGGAGGAGGATTATATTCCCCCCACCCTTTGTAGTCAGGCTTGGCTATGTGATTGGCATGGATCAATGAAACATAAGCATTTGTGGCCACTCCCTTCTGGGATGAAGTTTCAAAAGCCAATTCGTTTTTTGCCTTTCTTTCTTTCCTTCTGCCATGTTGACTGGCAGTGTTTCAAATGGTGATGACGTTCCAGAGTACATTAGATATTTCTTATTTGTTCCTACAGGGTCTATCCCCCCACCCCCATGATCATTTGTGCTGTGGAGACTGCCTTTTATGGACTGTAATAATAAGTTCTTTTGTCTTCTGGCTTCTGGTTGCGTTTCACTAATGAGAGCTACTGGCCAGAAATCAGAAGGCAAAGTAGTGTGAATCTAGGATAGTGATCCTCTTGTTTTCTCCCATACAACTCTCGATGGGATGGCTGCATACCTCTCCAAAGATCTCCAATTCCTGCTAGGTGCAACCTACTCTTTTTAGGTAATGCCATTGCTGTTGATTTCCCTCAACCTTATTCTCACTTCCCTTTAATAAGCTCACCTTAATTACTTATTAATTACTTATTTGAGTATGTCATCTGCTCCCTACCAGGACCTAACACACAAAGGACAACTATCATGAGCTAAAGACTCTCCCTTTAACCCAGATTTCTGTTTTTTTTTTTTTTTTACCATGGCAAAACCTTGCATATTCTGACTGGTATGCAGTGTTTTTAGTTTCTTATAAAGCAGTTATATTTTAATCAATAATTGTTGTCACAACCACTGTGGGGCTTAATAAAAACATACACATTCATGTTTTCCTCCTGCAGAGTCAGTCTTAAGCGGGGCCCAGACCTTTTATTTTTAATAAGTTCCAAACCATTGGTTTTTGAGGATTCCCAGGATCAATAATATATCTCATATTGGCCTGTGTTTTTTTCAGATGCATTTTATGGATTGTGGAATTTGAAGAAGCATTATACAGGGTTCTCCAGACAAACAGAACCAGTAGGATGTATTTTAAGGAACTGGCTCATGCAACTATGGAAGCTGGCAAGTCCAAAATCTGCAATTCAAGTTGGAAGGCATCTGCTGGCAGAATTCCCTCCTGCTTGGGGGAGTTCAGTCTTTTTTTCTACTAAGGTTTTTAGCTGATTAGAAAAATCCCACCCACATTATGGAGGGCAATCTGCTTTACTCAAAGTCCACTGATTAAAATGTTAATCTCTTCCAAAAAAAAAAAAAAAAAAACTCTTACAGAAACATCCAGAATAATGTTTGATCACATATCTGGGCACCATGGCCCAGCCAAGTTGACACACAAAATTAATCATCACAGGAAGTTGTATGACACATGAGTAGGATTAAATACTAAGTGTTGAAGAGGATGGTAATACTCCATTGGCAGAGATGCTTTAAAAGAAAACCAGATACATGTTAGTATCTGTATTTGTTGGTGTCAGTCAAATGACACACTGGCTAAGTAAAATTTCTTGATTCATCATGTATATGGAATTTCCTTTAAAATCCATACAGAACACTTCTGTGTAGTTAAAAATATGTGCCTTGTCATTAGACAGCCTTGTTTTGAGCCCTGGCTCCCCCTTGGTTATCTGTGTGAATCTGGAAAAGCTCCTTAAGTCCTTCATCTTTGGTTTTCTTTAATATGACAATTAAATTGGAAAATGTACCTAAAGCACTTAGTAAAGTTTCTAAAACAAAGTAGATATTCAATATGTTTTAAAAAAGACAGTTCAAGGACTGGGATTGTGGCTTAGTGGTAGAGCACTTGCCTCACATGTATGAGGCACTGGGTTTGAATCTCAGCATTGCATATAAATAAATGGATAAAATAAGGTCCATCAACAACTAAAAAAAAACCAAGACAATGCAAAATTGCATTTTACTTCATAATTGTATGAGAAGAGGTGAACCACTTAAACTATTTTCAGTATCTTTTCTTTAAAAAAATTTAGAGATCATGTTAATATCCTTTCCAGACTTTTATCTGACATGTGCCAGGAGAGTTCTTGGAAGTGAGGCAGAGCAAAGTAAGAGGGAGAACAGCTCAGATGTATAAGTATTCACAAATCTTGTGTCTGGGAACAGTTTGATTCAAAATAGTTGCATGGATGTACTGGCAGAGAACCTTTCTCTCCTTTACCTAAGAGCAATGACTCATTTTCAACCTTAATGAGAAAGGAAGTGTGAGTCCCAGTGTTGGCAGGCAACATTTATGTACACGTCTCCACCTTTCAGCTATCAAAGCCATGGGGTATTGTACAAATCTAAGATTCTCCTTGTTTGCAGAGCAGAGAAACTGATGCTGTTGAACCGTGTTAAACCGGGGATGGATTCTATTTAGCCCAAGAAGGGAGCAGGTATGTGAGCAGCAGTCTTGTGGCTTTTATAGATAAAGGTAGCCATAGCTAACCATGTGCTCCCCTGGTTCATATTCTTGACCTTAGCCTTCCATTTTAGTTATCTGCTATGTTTCTGATGGACAGCTACACATATTCTAAGAGCATTAGTCCTTAGTGGTCAAACCCATGCTTCTTGTTAACTTGACTTCATCTCATACTACTTAAAAGATGGTGGACCCAAAATAATTTTGAAATGTTTTTGGTAAAATTTTATAGCTTCCCACAGTGCTCTGCTGCAGCCATAACATTCTCCCTTTGTGTGGAGTTCTGAATCCTTTGCTTATGCACTTTGGTCTGCTGATGACTTAGGTCCCAGGGTATTGCCAGTAAAAGGTTCTGGCGAGAAGTGCTTTGGATCATTTGAGTGTTTGGTATTCTTCTAAATCCATCCACAACAAACTGAGGACTTTGTAGAAGCATGCCCGTTTTGTGATTACATGACCTCAGTGCAAGAAAATGTCAGTTGGTATAAATTTTTCATAACCACTATTCTACCTCAATTTCAGAAGGTAACCGATACTATTTTTGAGAGAAACGTCCTTGAAGCATTGGCACTTCAAGTTTTCTCCTATCATGTTCAGGGGTCTTTCTTCTGCTCCTGCCTTTCCACTACCCCCTCCTTCAGAGACAATGTGAGAAAGAAGAAAACCTGGTGGATAAACTAGGAAGGCAAGGGAATCAGTAGGACCAGCTGTCATCAGGAACACAGTCTGGACTCTGTAACTCTATGGATTTTGTGAGACAAAATGGAATAGAACCAGATCATTTTTATGTCTCTCTAGCTCTATGATTCTAGGAACTCCAGGACTATACAGAACGCTGTGCCACTCAAGGTTTCAGCTACCCCTACAAGGCACATCATTTCATCCCTGTTTTGAAGAAATGGATATTTGTTGACATTTTAAACATAAAGAATATTTTAAAATATTAATATACAACTGGTTAATATATTAAAAGTTTACCTTTTATGTTGCATTTTTGTTGGAGTAAAAAACTCATAACATCTAACATTTTAACCATTTTAAGTACAGTTTTATCATGTTAAGTCTGTTCACATGGTGAAACAAATCTCCAGAACATTTTTATCTTGCCAAACTGAAACTCTATGCCCATTAAATGACAACTGCCTTGGCCCCTTCCCCCTGACTCTGATAAGCATTGTTCTACTTTCCATTTCTATAAATTTGACTGTAAGACACATGGTCCAACAAGCAAGAGTATATAGCATGAGAAGAGGACTAAAAGCAGAACCCTAGGGAACACAATCTCTTTAAGATGCCATCAGATGAAGGAGAAGGAAGCTGTGGGAAAGAAGCCCAGGGGACAGGGGTGCTCCCAAAGGGAAGTAGACAAATGTCAGAAACTACAGAGAGGCCAAGGAACATGAGGACAAAGGGGTGTTAGCACTAAGAAGGCTGCTAGGATTCTTTGCAGTTCTAGAAGAGGCTAGAAGGTTGATTCAAGTGGATGGAGGAGTGAGCTGGTGGTGAGAAGGTACAGGAATTTGTTGAAGACTACTCAAGAAATTTAAGTGTGAACAAAGGGAAGAGATGGGGTAGGAGCTAGAGGAGGACAGCGTAGTATTTTTCACTTCTAATCATTGTTTCTTAAACTGAAAAAAATCTCAAGAATGTTTAAGAGCTTGTTTCAGTTTAACTATTGTGACATAAAAAAAAAAACACAATTCCAACACTGAATGTTTAAAAAAATCATTTTATTTTGCCTGAATGCTGTGTGGAATCAGAAATTTAAGAAGGTCTCCTCCAGGCTGCTGGGCTCTGAGCCCTGTGGTGTCAGTGTTGAGGCTGAGACTTGAGGACCCACTTCTGAGATGAGGCTCCTTCTGCACACATAGTGCCTTGGTCCTCCTTGTCCTCTCTCTCCTCCAGTGCCTCTCATAGAACAGTAGTCTCAGAATAATCACACTCATCACCTCACCACTCACTTCCAAGAGATCCAGATGGAAGCAGCAAGATTTTTTTTTTTTTAACCTCGATTGGAAAGTCAGAGAATGTCACTTCTGCTACTTCCTAGTAGTCACACAAGTCATCAGGGCCTGCACAGATTCAAGAGAAGCCAAGGAGGAGACTTGACCTCTTGATGAGGGATGGCATGAGACCACAGGCAGGGAAAGACTTGAGGGCAGCTGTCTCGGAGACAAGTAGAGAGACCGGGATTGAAGTTCCTCAGGTGTCCCAGGAGGCAGCAGCGGATGAGATTTTGGAGATCTGAAACCACAGATGGGTAGATTGAGAAGTCTTCAGAAGGAGGATGGAGCTTCTTTTATGACATTACAGACCTCTATAAAACACAAACTCAAAGGTGACCCGAGGACACTTCTCAGTGTATTGTAGAGTTACGGTGTTCTATCTACTTTCTTCATGTACCTAGCACTCTCTGAGAGGAAGTTTAGGTCCTTAGGGGAGCGCTTTGCTAAAACAACAGATGCTGTAGAGATTCACAGACAAGTACAATGAGGGTCTTGCTGCTATGTGTTGGTCTTTGGACTCTCCCATCTCAAGTATGTGCTGAAGAAATCTTTGTGGACCAGGATCACTCTTGTTACCTTTACCTATCTTCCTTTATGAGTGATCAGCAGTAACACCTCTAATAAAATCATTCTTCTGTCTCCTGGAGAGAAAGTGCAGTAGATAGTCTCAGCAGTTAAGTTAACTATTTCAAACTGCTTTGTTTAACATCCTTGGGGCAAATTACTTGAGCTTAGCGTCAGTTTTCCCATTAAAAACAATTTTGTAGTTGTAGATGGACAGAATGCCTTTTATTTTATTTTTTTAAAATGTGGTGCTAAGGATCAAACCCAGTGCCTCACACATGATAGACAAGCACTCTGCCACTGAGCTATAGCCCCAGCCCACTTTTCCCATTTGTGAAATGGGTTTTTGTGAGAATAAAATAATAATTCACATAAGGTAGTACTTAGTAATCTCTCAAAAGTGACTAGGGATTGTTGAATTGAATTTGCATATCTTTATTATTTTTTATTCATTTATTTTTTAGTTGTAGGTGGACACAATGCCTTTATTTTTATTTATTTTTATGTGGTGCTGAGGATTGAACCCAGTGCCTCACCTACACTACGTGAGCACTCTACCACTGAGCCACAACCCCAAGCCCTGAAGTTGCATGTCTTTAAATGAATTCTTCAGTTTCATCTTTGGGTGGGAAGCAAATGTTTAGATCATTAACATCTGAAAGCACTTTCTGGACAAGCTGGAAATTGTTGTGATTTGCTTTACACAAATGGTGCACTTAGTGTGGGAGTGGAATTTTAACTCATGTACCTCAAAAGTTTTACAAGCTTCTGCAGGGGCTAGTTTATAAGGAGAAAGTGTCTTGGGCACTTACATAAGACAATAAATTGAGTCAGAGGTAAGAAAGGGACTTTGAGTCTCTGTCGAGTTTGCTACCACCTAAGCCACCCAGACATGTGAGAATCTGCCTTTGTGTGAACAGCTCATGGGTCTTCTAGATTCTATCTCCAGCCCCTTTCTCTCCCAGCCAGCCTGTCCTCGCTGGACCCAGCCAGGCTCCTGGAGCCTAGTCTGGTCTGAGTTAGAGCCCTGGGCCTCCTTTTTTGCCTGGGAGCAAAGTTAGAACAATAGCATTTATCAATCCTTTGCCCTATTTTAAAATGAGATATAACAACAGCACACTTTGACTAACATTTTTATAAATACTGTAGAAGAAAGACTTCCTTGGGCCAGTTTCAAGAATTTGAGGCATTATGCTGGTAAGCAATGATGCAGAACTGACTTGATCTCTGTTTTGGCTGCCAAATACCTCTGGCTGGTTACAACCACTTTGTTGATTCCTCAACATCCCCTTTGTTCTTCACAATATCCAGCCTTCTGCAGTGATAGTCATTTCCACACATGACCTCTGAGCACTCCCACACACAGCCATTACACTCCCGAGTCCAGACTAAATATAGCCTGACCTCAAAGCTTCACCAGTGCCTGCTCCTATCCCTGCCCTTGCCATGAAAGCTCCGACTTAGGTGGATCCTGGATGTCTTTCTACTAGCCTGTGCATGACAAAGGTCTCTTCCTTCCTCACATGCCAGGAAGGGTTTCCTGACCAATTCTTCCACCAATTTTTCACTCCACAGAGTTCCTGATCCTCCCTCTCTTTCAATCTCTGTGTATCCTTAGTGGGTTTTAATGGCTGAGTTTCTACATATGCTTACTGTTTTTTTTTCCCCCTCACTGTTAAAAAGCAAGAAGCAAAAACTTGACTCTGTATCTTAATCCAAAAAGATTCTGCCCAGACTATCAGGAAAGAGTGGGATGGTGAGGTGAGCAGGTAGGACATTGGGAACCAAGTAGAACACCTGCTTCTAGGATGCGTTGCCCAAAGGACCAATATATGCCCGGCCACCTTCAGCAGTCTTTGGTGGGGGGTTGCTCCCTGGAGAATATTCATTCTCTAGTAATTTTATTTTGTTCTTACTGGGGCAGAATGACCTGCAGAGGACAGAGAAAGCCTGTAGGCAGTGTTGTGGGTGTTGCCAGCAGTCCTAGGTGCTGGCCAAGAACACAAACTGATAAGTCCTGAGGGATATGATAGGAGCCCCATTTGTGACATTATTTTCCTTGTCTTTCAGGTTCCCATGGGTATGCTATTTTTGCATAGTTGTAATCACAGTATAAATATGATTTTGTACTGTTCTTTTTTTACTAGAAGCAAGTTTTCAGGTTGACTCAGTTTTTATAATTAAGGCTACATAATTTCATCTCCTGCATATGCCATAATTCCCATAACCATTCCTCCATTGCCAAACATTTAGTTTATTTCATTTTTTTGTGCTATTATAAATTGCTAAAAAAAAACCTCTGGAAGGTATGAATACAGCAAAGTGTTATCAGCAGTTGCCTTTGAGTGACAGAATTATAGGCATACTTTTTTCATTCTATTTTCCTATTATTGCTTTTATAACAGGAAAAAATAACAGTTTTCTGTGTTAATTTGGTGAGCTAAATGGTACCAAATTATTCAAACACTGATGTATGTTGCTGGGAATGTATCTAACAGATGTGATAAACATCTATGATCAGGTAACTTTATGGAAATGAAATTATTTTAGATAAACTGGGTTGACCTGATTCAATTGGTTGAAAGGGCTTAAGAGCATAATTGAAGATTTTTTGAAGAAGAAATTTTGCCTTGGATACAGCTTCAGGCCCTGCCTGGGTTCCCAGTCTGTCCTACCCTATGGATTTGGAACTTGCCCAACCAGCTTTCACAATCATATAGGCCAATTCCCTTGGGGGAAAAAAAATCCCTATGTGAACACACAGGCACACACATACATATTCTCTGGAGGACTCCTTAATGATCCAATAATCTCTCATCGCTCCTCCCAAAGATACCACCAAGCAAATTTTAAAGCCAACAGAATTTTTTAACATTTTGCATTTTTTTCTATCTAAGATCGAGACTTTTGGATGTGGCATGAACATATTGTAGTAACATGTAAATTCTTTACTATGAACCCCAAACAACTGGTATAGTGAACCTGGAGCTAAACTAAAGGGTGAGCCAGATGGGAATGTAATGAAGTGTCAATCTAAAATGGGTTTTGAAACATCTCTGAAGAAAATTGTGTCCACCCTGAACCCTCTCAGGGAGAACACCGTGTGTGTGTGTGTGTGTGTGTGTGTGTGTGTGTGTGTATGTGTGTGTGTATTTAGAAGGGATGATTTAATAAACTGCTTGGGCCAGGACAATGCAACTTTCAAGAAGAATGTTCAAAGAAAAGCTGATGGTTCCTAAACTGCCCTCTAAAAGTGGTGGATTCAATTAACTCTAGATTTTGTTTTTTTTTTTTTTGGTGGTTGAGTAAGCCAGTTTGGGACCAGAGCTGAACTGTAAGAGACAATGAAGAAGAGGGTCATGAATCTTTTTGCCTCCCTTCTAAGAAAATTTAAATATTTAAACAAATATCTGTTGGAGTGCCAGAATATTAATTGGATTGGGTTGCCCATTTAGCTAGGCCTCCCTAAATGGACCTCAAGCTGACACTCAAATTACATTTATTAAGCCCATGTTGTGTATATTTACTGCAAATCTTAGGACATTTTTAAGGTTTAGAGAAGAGTTTGCATGGTGTGGGGATGGGGGCAGGATATGAAGAGCCTGAATTCCAGAAGGACCTATAAAAGATGTGGGGTTTCAAGAGCTTTCTTCCACTTATTCAAGAAAACATATTTTGAATGCCAGGCTAAGTACGAGGCTAGACGAGAGAAAGAGAGAGAGAAAGAGAGAGAGAGAGAGAGAGTCAGTCCTGATGGAGTAGTCTGGGGAAAAGACAGGCAGTCGTTGCATTGTGAATGCTTACTCAGTAGTGAGCACAGTAAAACAAGCACATGAGCTGCTCAGAGGACCTACGATAAACAGACCTAGATGAGTCAGAAGAGTAGAGGCAGCCTTGCAGAAGCAGGTGTTTTGATGGGACTGATAAAGAAGCTTCATTTCCTAATCTGCACCTGAGTCCCCGAGTTAGAGCTAAATGTGTCTGTGTGTGCTAGTGTGGGAAGGAAGGGCAGGTAGGAGAGGCGTTGAGGAAGTTGGTACTGCAACTGTTCATCTTGGTATTTGGAAAGACTAGCTCATCACCTCTTAGCAAAACAGCAGAAGGAAAACAAGAACAGTGAAAATAAGAGTAGCTTTCCAGTGCCTCAAATAGTCCTTGTCCCTTAACAGGTACTTACTAAATAAAGACTAAGTGAAGGGAGATTGCCCAGTTCTGTGCTATGGGCCAGGCACTGTATTTAGGTGCTTTAGATACACTTTGTTACTTAACCTTCCCAAGAATGGGGACCAGAAATGAGTAGAGTTTGCATTGAATTCTTACACTAATTTATTCTTTCCTTTGGCATGTGATGAAATTAATGTTTATCTGCAGCTTGCTGATGAACTTCCCATTCCTTTGATATAAGAGCTTTCAGAGCAAACAATTAACAAAAATAAATGTTTGGATGAGACATTTTTAACTTGGCTTTCACTTTTGTTGATGAGCTACCTTCTGTTTCTCCATTATTTCTGATTTTTTTTCCTCAACCATAAGTCTTACTAGAAGTTTCCAAATTGGATTTTGCTTACTATTAATTTGTTTTAAATGGAGTCAACTCTATGAAAATCTCTTTAAACAAAGAGATGCCCTGGTTTTTGTCTTGCTGGATCTTGTAAGATCTGACCAGGGTGGTCA